TGTACAGCCCATAAATTCTATACAACACAGGAACAATGAACACAGTAGAAACAAATTGTGTCGATGTGAAAAAATGTGAATATTATTCAACAATCCACAGATTTTTACATGCTTTAATTAATGGTACATATAATAATAGTATACGTATCACACTTTGAACGCTGCCAGTTCTAGCGTGCAATTTTAAAAAAGTATCATTTTAGTTGTAAGTATTTGTTTATGTCCGTACAATAGTTCTTCATGTGCGCGATAAGGAAAGTACATTAGCGTTTGAATGAAAAGTTTGCGAACACTTTCCCATTCATAAATTTTTTAAGATATCATTGGCTTCGGAACAGTTCCCCCAAAGGGCTATACGTACCTATCTCAATGGAGTGTTAAAAAATTCTGGTGTGAAATTTTATAAGTGGAACAACTAGATATACTGTCCCACTGATACCGTGATCTTTGGAAATATCTATTTAGGACCTATCTGTCCCACGCACCTCCTTCAACCTTCTTCATAATAAAACATTAGAAGTACCGTTTACGAAATCTTTAACACGGCACTACATAGGTCTATACATACATATAATATGCTAGTAGTGGTGTGGCTCGACTTTTAAAAGGCAGTAGAGAAATGGTTAATTTACCTGTTAGCAGGTCGCGACGTTTCTGTTTCCGTTGACCGACGGCAATTCACGATTTTCGCAATTGCAATTTATCACCTTCGTCGCCCCAGTTAACAACAAATTTTCCCACCATCTATCGACTTTCTGTAGAATCGCGAGATGTACATACATACGTACATACATACATATATCCCCCCTTTCACGAGCGCTCGAACGTTCATCGTGGTATTAATCGGCTCGGTTGGCATTTCCCCGTGAAAAATTCTCCCGCGTCGTCCCCTCGAAGAGGCTATACGTTCCAGGGAAACGAAACGATCGTCGTCGGGCAACGACCGAAATGGAATCCGTCAAATTGACGGGGGGTATAGCAGATAGGCGTTGTGTCACACTGCGTTGAGGGTCGCGAGCGGTGTTCGAACGAAACGAAGAGGACCAGGTTGCAACAGCGGAGGGCCATGCGAGGACTATGATCGATGTCCCGAAATTAAGGGCTTGCTCACCGAGCAAAATAAAGTTAACCAATCGGGCCAACGACGAATGGCCCGCTCGGCCTTTATCGTCCTCCCGTTCTCGGCCTGCGTCGCGACGACCCGATGCCCGATTTTTTTTTCCACCGCGCCCCATCCCGTGTTTTCGACAAGGGGGGAGGGTGGGGGGAGGAGGGGTTGCCCCGGCGTGCCGATTGCAATTGGAGAAAGAGTGATACGGGGAGGTGAGGCACACAGTGAATCGAGGAACTGGCCGCGGACGAGGGAGAGGATTTTCGTAATTATGGAACGGCGTTTGTCCCGGGGGATTCGTCAGTCGGCAGAAGAGCCCCTGGCGCTGTACGGCCACGACAATGCCATTTTAATTATGCATGTTAATTGGTTCCCGAGCCCGGCGTAATACCACCTTCTCCAGAACTATTCTCGCGGTGCATCTCCTCGTCACGTTGCTGATCGATGCGACGTGTTTATCGAGAGATTGAACAGTTTCCCGTGATCGTCGATGTTTCGATCGTTCGCCTGGTACGATGTCCGAAATACAGATTATATTTTTTAAGTTTATCATTCCGCAGCGTGTTATGTCGAATTTAGTCCATGGAAATCTACCAGAGTGATCGGCTCGTCACTTGCAGATAATGAGGAATAACCAGAAAAGGACAGAAAAAGTAAATTTAACAATTTAGTACATTCCACCTTTTTTCGTTCTTCTTAACTTTTTATCGGCATGGACTGTAGACGTGTACTTGTGTTTAGCGAAATCTTGCCGTTGGGTAACGTTGATTTATATACAAAGAAGATTTTTAAGAAACATTAATCATTTATACAAAGCGCAATTAGGCCAGTGATTATGAAAGTGGCCTGCGTCAGATACTTTGCCAAAATGCTTCCGCATTATTGTAATATAAATCGACGTAACATCGAATACGTGATAAATTCAATTGTTTTAGATATTACATCTAGACCACTTTCACAATCACCGGCACAATAAATCCACTATTTGATCTTCCATTATGTAACATTATTTCTATACAGTAGGTAGATACATAATAAGTGAAAACGACTCTTCCGCGGCGATCATCATGGGCTGACAATGAGTGTCGTTGACAAGTATAAGCATTCAGGTTCGGAGTAAACCACACTCTAAAGGTTAATGTTAAAAACATTAAAACAAGAACTATGTCTATCCTACAATCGAAATGAAAATTCTAACTGCAACCGTGTTTCACTTCGTCTCTTCTGGACTGTTCCCTTCAACGTTTTTCAAGGGAAAGTGATAGGGTGAAAAAATCACCGTGTTCAGATAGAGATTCCGGATTTGTTTTTGTTCTTTTTTTAGTCGGATATACACAATTGATGGCGGTTGCGTTGTACTTTCTGCACAGTTGAGTGAGCATGTCACAATCGACCAGGGCCGTCTCAATCAAAGTGGCATTGATACCCTTCGCTCATTCTCCCGTTCGGGGCCCCCGTGTTCTGCATTGCGGTTTTGTTCGAGACCGAAAATCTATTAACCCACCGATGTATATACACGTATGTATATTCCGACAAACAACAAACGCACACATCGTTCGGGCATGGGTCGGAAGCTAATTTTAATGGCCAGAGAGACAAAAAAGCGTTACAAAGCTTTCATTCCCAAGTGACCAATTTTGCGTAAAAAAAGCCGACGATGGTAAGAGAATTATACTGTTAACTTTAATTAAATAGCGAATAAACACAATACATAGTGTACTATTTATTTAGCGTAGAATACTTTATGCAGAGAATTTTTTTACTAATTTAGTACTAAATGCTCTTTTATTTTAAAATTACGTTTCACATTCTTACTCAAACAGTAACGGATATATTCAGTCATTTTTAGTTAAATTTTGAATAAAAAATTTTGTTCTAAATAAAAGTTTTCCTACTCTTTAATAAGTCACGTACTCGTATTGAAAATTTATCTTCATCATTTAAACGACTTCTATCGACATTACTGATATTAAATTGTTTTTAAGAATGATAACACTTGTTTTAAATATGACGAACGAAAACAACTGGTTAGAATCGTACAGTTCATTTAACTTGGTTAAATTTCAGGTATTAGTAATAAAAAATGTCTGAAGTATCAATCGCTTTTCTTATATGCTTTCAAGAATGAAAGAAATCGAGTCCTGTGGCCACGGTTACATTGAAATGGGAGTTTTCTCAGTGGATAAGTGTTTTAAACATCAACTTTAGAACCATAATAAACATTATTATTAGTGTAAATGCTAACTCAATCCTTGAATCCTACGGATCGTTCATTTACTCTACGTCCGGCACGATCTACCGCAAACGGCGCAAACCAAGCTAAGAGACGTAGTCTAGGGTGGCGCGCGATGTGACACGCGACCGCAACGTGGCTGCATTTACATTATATCACGGTTTATACGATGTTACTTAGGTGCGTGCGTGCCACGTGCCGAACCAGCATTTTCGAGATTAATTTTTCTAATGCTTCGCCAGTTATGTTCTACATGAAGGTAAATTTTGTATGGCATATTTTTATATGTACTATCTTCAAGACATCAATATTACCAGAAGAAAATAATTAGCGTGCTGATTAAAGTGAAACAAATGCCAATTGCCTTCCTAGTCAAATTAACAGAAAATATTGGAAATTAGTTTAGAACAGTAAACATATTTGCTGTATACGTTACTTGCCAATAGTTTCCCAATGGCAGTGAAAGAAAAGAATAGTTCTTCCTAAACGATCATCTTTATAAGGTGGACATTAAAATTAAGTATATTTATGCGTTTGTAAAGTATTGACGGTTTCACGTTTCCTTTTCACTTTATGTGCACATCACAGCTATATCCGCCATAATCGAATAAAGTGTCTCGATACACAGGTCCTTCAAACTACGAAATCCATTTTCTCGGAAGCTATAAACAACACCTATGCCGGAGCGTCGCGCTTAAATCCTGGGGGTGCTGATACGAAAAGACTGCGAGGCGTAGAAAAATAGTTATGTGCAAGCCTAGTAGGCTTTACCCGTCCCCTACGTGTAACACATATCCTCTGGATGAGGATGAAAGCTCTAAGACACCGTTGTATTGAAAACCGGGAGTTGAGCACCTCTGAGCGCAAGATGTCCTCCTCAAGACTATCTCTGCCTGTGTCCCGCGGGAAACCTCTTCCTTCCTACCGTTCCTATCTCAGGACACTCTATATAGACTATTCAGATACCAGGCTCACCCTATTGTGTCTGTATTTCCAAGGACAAGCGTAGATGGTGGAGGAGGTCTAAGTACGCCTGAGTATTCGAGTGCTCTTCTACCTTGTAGCCTCACCACACCTCGTAGGAAACGTATTTTGCAAGCCTAAATATCCCGGGTTTCTAGTCGTGACGGTATGCGACGCTATCTCGCAGGTGGGTACCTTCAAGAACGTGTTATCTGGACCCTTATACATATATATAAACTGATATCATAAATGTTGAGTCTCTACGAAACCGGACTGTGTATCTGTTTGATTGTTAATGTTGAATGGAAGGTCCAATATTTCTTTGCTTGCATTTTTCATATTTAACAAGAGATGATTTGATGCTTGGCACTAGCTATACTTGTTTTTAGCTATACATTTGTTTTTATAGGCACTTACCCTTACGTCCCCATGTATACTAAGTAGATAATATATGTATTTATATAGGTAGGTTTGTTTAATGGTTTATACCATAAAATAAAGGAGACCTTGACAATAATTCAATAAAACTAGGTAAGATCAATTTATCTTCCCACGTGCTTGCCTAGAGAATGTAAACTTATTCAGATAGAGTTACGACAGAAACTTAGTAACCTCAACCTTAAATGCCAAATGTGTAAATAGAGGCGAGTACTTAATACTAACAAAATAGAATATAATGAATATCGCACTCACCGGTCGATGATCACAGGATCGCTTGGCGTTTCGTTTCTGTTCCCGCAACTTTTCTTATCGCAACACCGACTGCAAGGAAATAGGATAGACTCGTTAGACATTACTATGCATAATTTTCAGACAGCTTTTTTAGAGGACAAAGTATTCGTTTTTTGAACCGAATTCGATCATTAGGTCCAGAAGGTTCGGAACTTTCGAGACCGTCTAAAAACTAGCGGAACCCTTGAGACTTCGCAAGTTTGGGGGGAGAAGAGTACTCGGGCCGAAATCCCATGGGTCAATGAGTCAGCTACCCCCGGAGAATGACTACATCCTCGTGTGTTTCGTTACGTTTGGGGTTTGCTACCGCAAGGGTGGTTGCTTGCATAGAGAGCAGATCTGCTGCTCGTACAAACGTATATAAAAGAATGATGGTAAAGTGTATTGGTTACTATATCAAATTATCACGTTGACAAATTAGTGTTGAAATACTTATTTTAGAACGATATTTTCCAAAATGATTACCGGGTACAGCGAATACAATTATAATTCAATTCAGCGTTGAATACATTTGAATACAAAGGAAGACAGTTTTTGATAGACAACATAACTCACCTACACATCACCTCGTGTGTCAAAAGAACTCTGCACATCTCAGGATTCTTATCTTGTCCCTCGTACATGATTGCCTGGAATAGAAGATAATATCGTATTAAGTTAAGCTACACAATTTAACAGGTATCATATTCATATTTCTTCAATTTTTATGAATAATTTACTATTATTGCGTGTATGTGTGTGTAATGATCTTTAAAAGTACTGTACAATTATTTTAAGTGCACAAGAATGAATTCATAATCATTATTAAGTTACATCTTCGCAATCATGTTTACGTTAAAATAAGCAGAAAGGATGTTATATCTACATTGATGATATTTTACAAAAGAAGGTCCAATATTTTTTGTTCTTTATTGTGTCAAATAATTAAGAAACTAATGGAAAACATGGAACGGATAGAAGAACTATACAGATTACAGATGCAGGTCGTCAAGCTCCCCATAAGATTGGCAAGCTATGGGCGGCCTAACTAAATCCGTTAAGCTTCCTTCACGATCTTCTGATTGATTTTTATTTAATGACAACGCGTCGTTACCCTGTATTCATGTTTTCACTTGTGGGGAACAAGATGCGGATTAGCCGCAGAATAATAAAGGCGTGGATAGGAAAGCTTCCTTTGATCTTAGTGAAGGAAGTCCTTGGAACAGAGAGAAATCTCCAGCGCGCATGCGATTATTTACTTAACTACGTGAAACAATTTTATTTATTTTTCTGTAAGTCTATTAAATGCATCTTCTTCATTCTCGAGGAACTAAGTGATTTTTCCAATAATAATACCTAATTTGTAATTCAATTCATGAATATACACGGTGTATTATTCTGGTTGCCCTAACAAAGATATTATTTATTTATTGATCTACGGGTATATAACCCTTTAGTATACAATTCAGTTATAATCGGTCAATTGTAGGTAACAATGTGTTGTATAATCTATGCCTAAAAGAGACTTGGGAACTAAAGAAGGCCAGCGATAGACAGAATTTATTAACATTCATAATTATGCGGTTTATGCAATTATATTGTCCATAATTTGTGCGGTGGGTCTCTTGAAGTAATAGCACATGATTTCTTCTGGATGACACTGACGTAATTAACTTCAAGCGAATTATTAAAAATTATCATTTCAATTAATACTTGATAACATCATTTTAATAATTGCCATCAGATTTTGAATTGCACTTTAATTTCACTTTATATTGTTGTTTCATATTGTATGCACAGTTACTAATAACTATATATATTTACGCCCAGTAATACAAGCTAAAATTTTCTATCAATCTTTAACAAATACTAAATAGGTAATAACAAACAAATGTAGATATTCAAATGAATAAAACAAACGGAATGTTACCGATATCGTCTTCTGTGGGTATAGTATAATCTCGATTATCTGAATATTACTTATCATTATATCGTTTTGAGTGCTAAAAATTACCAAAATAATATGATTTAAGTATCTACATTAGAAACGGGTTCAAGATAGTATGAAAATCAAATGAAGGTCGATCTAAAAATATTGAGGGACCAGAATAAAACCACGCGAAGTAATTAATCTTCTTCAAATACTGTATACAAATGTATGAATATTGTAGACTGTAAAATAATTATTCAATTATGACTCACAACCTCATGATACGATTATTCAAACATCGTAACACCTAATTAGTTAGCATAATCGAGTCTCTACTGTACCTATAGTATAAACAAATCGGTTTGTACATGTACAGCAATATATCTATGGCTACATTAATATTCGAAAGCCAATAGAGGAGACCAGGGACAAACGTAACAATTGTTCTTTTTGAGTTTGTAACTTTTAAATACAGTAGAATTTAAAAAAAAAATCTTGTACGACGAGAAACCTTGATTATTGGACAACATAATCGAACTTTAAAACCTAGAATACATTATATCAATTTTTTGAAATAAGACTTTCTTTAAAATCACTCATTTGTTACTTTTGTTCCTACCCCTAGGGATGATTCTAACGCCGCATTTGAATGGAAAGAAATCAACTAAACGGAAAGATGCTTTTAAATGATATTTTTATTTAGTCTATAGATGGATATAGGCGTAGAAGTAACATCAACTTTTTAATTTTTTGTTGTTGTCATACCGTAATTGATAGCAGATAAGTACAATAAATAATGTTGCTTAAACTATTTATTTATAATCAGCAGAAGATAGGCCAACTCGATCCTCTACAATTATATTTTTCTGCCATTTAATATGTCTCAATAATGTTACGTAGCATAGTTTAACCGAGTTTGAGGCGTGTCTGGGAAACACTGTTTTGTTTGTAACATCTTTTGCAGCTAATTTATATAATTCTGTAGAAGCCAGCCCATGGTCTATCTTCCATTTACGAATAGTTTTGGTATTCTGGAAGAAATCTTTATCCCTTAATTGTTACAATAGCATACCCAGAAAACTAAGGGGCATAAAAGAAAGTCGATAGCTTAAATCAGGACAAAAGTACCAACTTGTTACTTTTGTCCCTACTAGCGCTATCTCTCATAAATACGTCAATATATACAAACCCAAGTTATTATCATGAAAAATGTTATTTCTATCTGAAAATACATTAATTATTTAATATAACACAAAGACCTTCAGAGGATTTTACGGAACTGAAATAAAAAGATACACAACTGAACGAGATAATGCAAACTTACTTTTGGTATATTATTTCAATAGGGTAGTCGTGTCAGGAAAACCGCTTACTGCTGCGTGTTAGCGACAACTGACGTGGAGAACAGATGGAATTTCTGTATAAAGATAGGAGGAGGGGACTGTTGGTCGATTGACATTTGTTTTATAACAATTGTTACATTCGTCCCGTATTACGTTTGTCCCTGGTCACCCCTACAATGTTAACTTGTAAACATTGCACAGAATTTTGTTCTTATACTAAATCTTCTGATATGTAAATAGTAACACATAAATACCATTAACCTTTACTAGACTCGTCATTTTGCTACGTTGTGCAAGTCGGGGACGCTATAAATCCATAAACACTGCAGTCTAGTAATAAATCACCAATTGTTTTTACTTTTATTATTGATTGTATATTTATACAAAGTATACAGCTTGGACGTCAAAAAAATATACTGGTGTCCGAATATTAATATGGATAACTGTACGTATCTCGTAAACGTTGAACCACGGAACAATAATTTCGTTCGCCATTCGTTACGCGAATCTGAAAGGACAACTGCTCTGTCAGTGGTATTCGTTACCGCGCGTCAGACACGTTAATCGTATCAGTTTCACGATTTATGTGTGTGCGTGAGTTCCTTTCATTCTTCTTTGCCCGTAACGACCAAAATTGCCGGAGTTCGTGAAGAAGCGATAAAATGTAAATACTTTGAAATACAGTGTCCCAGGGAATTCGTCGGGTTGACATTGGTAGTCGGTGCGCGGGAGCAGTTGAACACCGGAGGACGCCAACCAGGGGCTAACGATATGAAATACATTTCGCCTCGGCAGTTAGGTGCGACTTCCGGAGGCGGCATCAAATATTTATACGAACAAAATAACCGAATTGCAACTTAAATGAACCACGAAGACTGTATACGTGACGTCAGGTAAATCAGAAAAGGATCCCCCTACACCCCATACTCCCAGCCGCTCCGCGGAACTAAAAATGTCGGCTCGAGAATATAGAGGGGGTGAGAATAAATACAACGAAAAGAGGGGAAATAGATCGAGCAACGAAAGAGGAAGAGTACGTGTTCCGGGTAAAAGGAAAGCGAAAGGAGACATAAAACGTTACGTGCCCCTTGGCCATTACGGGTTTTAATAGTTGGCCAACATGCGATCTTATCTATACCGAGAATAATTAACATAAGTGTCTGCCTTGTACGCATTAACCCTAATTCTAAGATAGAGATGGTACCCGCTGAATAAGCGTTGCCTTTTCTTAAACCTTTCGTTAACGTTCTGCCGTAAAATATTTGTTTGGAAGTATTACCCGCAATTCAATAAATGATTTAGCTAACAGATAATCGACATCATCTGCTTACGATGTATTGCACGCGTCGTGTTTTATATACGATTTTCCGAAACCACTTTCTTAAGTCTGATCTGCATTTTCCCATTTGTTAATGTTACTAGAACTTGAATTCTGACGGAAGATACTTGTATATGTATATCTTATGACATTCTATTGCAAATTCACAAGAATGTGTTGCATAGTAGAAAATAAAAGTCAGTAGTTATTCAAGTCATGTTTTCATCACCCGTATAATGTTACATTATTTATAAATAGGTATATTATGAACACATTGTATATTACGACATTGTAAATGTCCGCGAAAGTCCAAGAAATTTCAGCTGTTTAAAACATATTTGAGATCGTATTTCCGAATACATAGAAATTTTTTTAACGTTTTATAAGATACAGAACTGTTATAATACATTTTGATTAATGTTTTTTATAAAAAAATTATATATATGTATCTACGTAAACTGGAAATTCTGATAGTACAGGTTAATATAAATTCTCATTTTTATGGAGCAATTTATAAAAATGGAAATTCACCATGAATAGTTATTACGTTAAGAACAAAAATAAAATTGTTATCAAACTCCGCCAAATATTGTATTTTGTTGAAATTAACAAATTCACGTATGTATGCTATTGTATATTACAAATGTATAAATTCTGGGATCTAGTAATTATTTAGAATAAAGGTATTCTAGCTTTCGGAGAAACTAATAGTTTCAGGTTGGTGACATTGCTTGTGTAATCTTGAGCAGTGTGCACATGTCACCTGTGTATAATAATCGTTGTTTATACACCTAACAACCATAGGGTAGGTCATGTAGAGCTTGTGATATGGCAGGCGATATTATTTGCTTAGCGACCATTACCACTGGTACGGAAAGTGTTGGTTTGCATACCTGTCGCACTTACGGGCAATTTCAAGCAATTACTTTTTACCACGTCGTTCATTCTTGCGAAACGCCATCTCCTTATTTGTTTTCATTGCCATTAGAGTCGATCACGCTCTGCTTATCGATAACGTATGTGTGCACGTCTACAGATATTGAGATCGATCGGAAATTA